TATAAAAATATACATATAAAAATATTATAGCAAAGATAGCTTTCCCATTCTTCATAAGAAGTTATAGGGTAGTGAGCGGACTGTTGAATGTACGGTAAAGGAGAGGGGGGAGGAATAGACTTCCAGATTCCTAAAAAGTGTTTGCAAGAGCCCTGTCAACACAAATCTTGTATGCTTGACATTCACATTGTAATGTTGATATTCATTTTACTTTGACACTGAATAACTTCAAATGCATGTATTTGTGATCTAGAATGGCAGTAAAACATCTGGATACTTCTGTTGTAATTCATATTGCTTAGAAATCCACCAAGCATAGTTGTACTCAAAAGGAGTAGCAAGCTATAGAATGGTACAAGTCTGTGCATATGCTAGAGTGCAAAACTCCAGTGACAGGACAGGTCACCAACATTGAAATTGAGAATGTCTCCTTTTTTTTCAACACAAAGGATTGTTTTCAATAAAGTTTTCATCATTCACATTTTCTGTTTAATGTACTGCCTTTAGGCATGTGACTATAGATTCTAGATACTCTGCAGAACATATGTATAATGTAGCATTTGTAATCTGGTGTGCTCCTCTCAACAAGACTCACTAGATGTTACAGAAATGCATCTTTGATTTCAGTATTGGATGTCTACAGCAATTGTTCTGTACTGTGTTACATAGCAGTCTCCCTACTGTACAGTTTCTGGTATTTTTAGTGAGTAAAGTTTGTCTTAAGCATTTTACTCATCCCAACATAAATTATTTTATGTAAGTGTTTTTCTAGATTTCTCCAAGATTCCAGTTTCTACTGGAAAAAAATTGCTGTTTGAAATAGTCTGTTCCCCCACAATTCTTCTCAAACCTTGTGTCTCCATTAAAGTTCCTTTTCAGTCACTTCCTTACAATAAATCACCTGCAGGTTTCCAAGCAATTATCTATACAGGAAGGCAAAAAAAAAAAATCTTCACACTTAACAGGAAATGTCTATTGGATTTGCTTTGCAACTTCCTACCTTGATCGGTCAAAGGTTATAGGTGGTGTTTCTTTCTGATTCACTTCTGACAGCATTTTAATCAACATCTGCTAATGATACTCATTGCTCTGTGCAATGCTGCAAAATTATGGCAGCAGTGTCTTTCAATACATAATCCTTCACTGCATTTTGATGATCCAGTGGTGATGGTAATGGTAGATCATGAAAAATCTTTGTAAAATTATTATCTTTTTAACCCCCTTCCCTTTCTTCCTTTTCATACAAATTGTAAGGCAATTTTTTCAAAGCTTTGAATTTTGTCAGTAGAATGTGAGAGCTTAGTCTTGACAGATCAGAGGAGTATCTTTGTAGTGTTATAATTATGACCTTGTTGTTTTAACATGTGGATCCCGTGTTAGCATTAGAAAACTGTATGCCATCCTTTCATTTGTGAGATGGGTGCTGTATTCAGGAGATTTTTGATGCACAGGAAGAGTATACGGGGCACTATACAGGATGGATGGATGGATGAAAAGTGTAGTCTGTGTTGTTCACTAATGCTGTAGTAAAACTACTGCTATAAAAACTAAGTAGGAACAAAAATGTGTTCATGTGGTACTGATCGCACACTATTGCCTAAAGAAGTGAAACACAGTTGTATGTTGACCTGAAGATGACTACTTGTCATGAGTTCCTCTTTGTATCAGCCCAAATTTAGTATCTCTTTCAATTGAGGGTTAAATCAGTTATCGTAATTCTGTCTAAGAGCTTCTGTTCTCATTTCTTTTTAGCTCTTCTTCAGCCAGTTATATTTAAGGGACTGAGCTGATATCAGTATTTGAGGTAATGTGTCATACCCCTCTCTCATGCATTGTTGTCAAAATTGCTTTTTCCTGTCCCTTGACTGTTTTATGTAATGGTCTTTTTAAATAACCACAGGAATATATGTCTTTTCTAATCATTTTATCTTATTTCATATCTTCTTCTTCCACTGCCACCAACCTTTAGCTGTCCCATGCGTGTATCTGTCCTTAGGCCCTTATAACACTCTCCACATAGCCTTCCCTCAGGTATTAAAATCTGCACTACTCAGCTTGAATATAATAAGATTTTATTAAAATAGCAGTATGAAAAGAACATTGTTTGTTCCTAGGCTATATGTTTATTCAGCACAATTCGTCACTCCCTCAGAACATAGTGTTGGGAGACTCCTGTTCAATACTGTGGCTGTTGGCCTGTGGGTTCTGTTTTATCCCCATCCTATTTAACATCCTATTCTGTGTGAAAGCACTGAGGGAGAGTGTCCAAAGTTTTGGGGTTCAGTATCACCAGTACACCGATGGCACTCATCTCTCTCTCTCTCCTTTCCATTTAAATCCAAGGAAGCTATTTCAGTTCTAGTTCAGTTTCTGGTGACTAGTGGACTGGATGAGGGTGAATAAATTGACGTTCAGTCCAGACAAGACAGAGGTGTTCCTGGTCAGTTGAAAAGCAGATAAAGGGATAGGGTTGCAGTCATGCTGGATGGGGTTACACTTCCTTTGAAAACACAGATCTGCAGCTTGGGTGTACTCCTGGATTCATCGCTGCGCCTGGATGCCCAAGTTTCACCAGTGGCCAGGAGTGCTTTTCCACAGTTAAAATTAATGCGTAAGCTGTGCCCTTTCCTGGAGAGGTCTAATCTGGCCACAGTGACACATGCTTTAATTATATCCCAGTTGAATTACTGTAACACACTCTTATATGTGGTTGTCTTTTGAAAGTATTTGGAAATTTCAGCAGGTCTAAAATGCTGCAGCTAAATTTGGGCTGGTTACAGGGATCACATAATGCCCCTGTTACAGCAGCTCCACTGGCTGCTGATCTGGTTCTGGGTGCAATTCAAAGTACCGGTTTCAACCTATAAAATCCTAAACAGCACAAGATTGTGTCTCCCTTTGTGAGCCTGCCAGGGTGTTAAGACAATTAGAGGAGGCTTTTCTCTCTGTCCCACCACCTTCAAAGGTGCATATAGTGGGGACACGGGAGAGGGCCTTCTCTCTCATTGCACCCAGACTCTGGAACTCCCTCCCACAGGTGTCCAGGCTGGTCCCCAGTGTTGCTGTCCTTACACAAGCAAGCGAAGACCTTTCACTTCATTCAGGCTTTCCCTTAATGAGTGACTGTTTGGGACTTTTAAATAGACTGTGTTCCTTATTGCTTTAAATCTGGTTTTGATGTTGATTTTGTTTAGTATTTATTTATTTGTATGCCACCTTTCGCCCTGTAGGGGACCCAAGGCAGTTCAGAGCAGATAAAACAACAGATTTAAAAGCAATATATAAATATATATAAAAATAGTGGTTTTGATTCCCCCACCCACCCATGGAGCTTGCTCTCCCCAGCCAGTCCATGGCCCCAAAAAGGTTGAGGATCGCTGATTTAGATAACCTACAGCTTAAAAGCCTGCTTGAAAAGGAAGATCTTTGCCTGACAAAAGAAGAACAAGATGGATAGGACCAACCTGGCTTCTTGGGGCAGTACATTCCAAAGCTTGGGAGCAATCACTGGAATACTTTCTCATGTCCTCAACTAGCAAGCTTGGGAAGTTGTTGGAACCGAGAAAAGAGTCTCCCAGGAATATCTTAAAAGCTGAGAAGATTCATATATGGGGTGATATGATCCATCAAGTTGCCTAAATCCAAGCCATATAGGGCTTTATAGGTAATAACCAGCTCTTTGATTTGGGCCTGAAAAGGAACTGGCAGCCAGTGAAGCTGTTGTAATAAGGGAGTTGCATACTCTTTGTAACCAGTGCCAGTCAGCAGTCTGACTGCTGCATTTTGTACCAGCTGATATTTCTTCAAAGGCAGCCCCACACAGAGCATGTTGCAGTAATCAAAATGAGATGTAATTAAGGCATGTGTCACCATGACCAAATTAAATCTTTACATGATATGAAAATTAAGTTTATTTGTAGTAACAATTATTGTTCTATACTAGTTTTTCTAACTGTGATGATTCAAAATCTGTTTTGCTTCCAGAGTCTCAGGCTCTCAGCTGTTTCTATTGATAAAGAATGATGATTGCTTATCTCAAATGGAGTCAAGTCCCAGCCAAGCTATACTGCCCCTCCTTTAGCTTCAGCCACATGAAGTACTGGTGAAGCTACAGAGAACTCAGACCTAGATTCCTTGAGGCTCTCATAGTAAATTCCCAAACTGAGCTATCAGTAAAGTATCTTCACTCTGTAGGTGAGATCTTGTGTAACACTTCATCCAACTGAGAAACATGGTTCTTTTCTCTCCTTCATTTCTTATTTTGAAAACTTTGAGAGCTGTATAATGGTACCTCTTCATTTAGTACATCTTCAGTTGATCCAGTTCCTAAGGATTCCAGGCTAAATTAATCCCCATACATCTTTATTAACCATTCAAGCCACTTGGCTTTGTGAAAATGCCATTTTCGAGTGAGGCATAGCATAAGATTTTGACTAATAAACAGGATCTATGATTTGTATTCATTTATTTGATAACTTTGTAGTAACTTTGTCCACAAGATTTGTAGACATCTTGGATATGCGAAAATACTGAATGACACTATTAAATACCTTGATATTTTTTTAAGTCAAATGATCTATTGCTATCTTATTTTTTAGGCTTGGAATAACACATGAGTTGTGTGGTGAAGATACATATAGTACCTTGCTTCAACAGTGTTGTCAGCTGGAACAGGACATGGGGCAAGTTGCTGAAGCATGGCTTGAATGCCAGAAAAGAATAGATGATTATGTTGCTGAAGAGGTAAGGGGATGTCTTATTAGGAGTTAATTGAAGCAAAGTATGTATATTGTACATGTAAAAACAATAAATGTTTAGATGCATGTATATCTGTGTGTATATATTTTGGATCTCTGCTTTGTATAAATTGCCTTCAGCAAATGGCAGCCTTGTGGGCAGAAAAGAGATAGTCAGCTGACTCCAGGAGGTGGGATGATTTGATGGTGCCACTTCTGAATTCTTACCATTGTAGTTGTGTATCCTAAGAAACTATAACTTAAATTTAGGAAATGGTAATAAAAGCACCAGTAATAGTGCCTTATTCTGTGTGGCTAGTTATATAGTTGCTAACTAGCTGCTAACCTAGTAAAATTATTCTTAACACTTAATTAACTTACTAGGAACTGATCTTTCTGATGTGTATCCCAACACTGAGCAAAATTCTGTTGGCATAACTTTGTGCAGCATAACTCAAATTGGGCTCCAGAAACATTCTATTTAAAGCAATTAAAAGACCCTGATGTTAGGAAAGTGTGAGGGCAAGAGGAGAAGGGGATGACAGAGGATGAGATGGTTGGACAGTGTCATCGAAGCTACCAACATGAATTTGACCCAACTCCAGGAGGCAGTGAAAGACAGGAGGGCCTGGCGTGCTCTTGTCCATGGGGTCACAGAGAGTCAGACACGACTAAACAATAACAAAAAAAAGCAATTAAACTTCTGGGATATTCATTGTGGATAGAGTGGTAGACTAGAACTCAGGAGACCTCTTCCACTCAGCCATGGAAGCTCACCTTTGGGGGGAGTGCATAAAAACACTCCTTTAATATCTGATTTCCCTTGAAAAGCCCTATTGAAAAAGTCAGTTCTTACTTGATGTTACATGACAAAATGACAACTAAAATTTCCTAACCCTCTCCTTTTACATTCTGAAGCACCCTAGAGCTCCCTTTTACCATGTGGAAGCCTTTGGGAGCCATGCAATGTGGGGTGGGGAACATTTAATAGTGTTTTTTTTTTAAAAAAAAATCACTGTCAGATTGCCATCAGTAGTGCTGTGCCTGTAATGGACTGTTTGTTTTGTATAGGTGTGATCAGTCTAATATACTTTTTTAGTATACTTTTAAAAAAACTGTTAGGTATTTTGTTTTGTTTTCAGAAACAATCTTGTAGGTTCTGCTAAAGGAAAGTATTATATTTTTTAAATAAAAAATAAATAAATATTTCTTTTAAATAATATAGGTTTACTTCACCTTTTCCGCATGAAAGTTCAGTGTGATGCACAAAGGAATTCCCAATTAGACATGGGATATTCGTATTCGTATAACTGGGGATACAAATATGAATATTGGCACCGCAGGTCCCTGGAACCCTCATGTCTACACCCAATGAAAAATCATATTCTGCTTTTACATCAGCATGACTCAGTCATTGTTAATCTCATCAGCGAATTAACAAAAATTAAGCATTAAGTATACACACTTGATGTAGGGCAACGAGCATATCAAGAAATGACTGCACTAACTTCATAACTTAAAGCAATTTGCTGTCAAGATTTATGCTGATTGCAATATTCTGGTGATCATAACTAATAGGGTTGGGGCCAGTGTATAGTAAAATCACAGATCACACAATCTCATGAATGGGTATGCTCAAAAGATAACTGTGTAGTATAATGGGTCATGTGATACACTGCCACTTGGAAGTCATGAAACTCCCTGAGTTACTCTTTCTCAAGTTTATCTGCTTTACAGGATCATGAAGAAAAAAGCTAAATGTGATATCTTGAACTAACTGGAAAAACTTCAACAGTGTTGTCAGCTGGAACAGGACATGGGGCAAGTTGCTGAAGCATGGCTTGAATGCCAGAAAAGAATAGATGATTATGTTGCTGAAGAGGTAAGGGGATGTCTTATTAGGAGTTAATTGAAGCAAAGTATGTATATTGTACATGTAAAAACAATAAATGTTTAGATGCATGTATATCTGTGTGTATATATTTTGGATCTCTGCTTTGTATAAATTGCCTTCAGCAAATGGCAGCCTTGTGGGCAGAAAAGAGATAGTCAGCTGACTCCAGGAGGTGGGATGATTTGATGGTGCCACTTCTGAATTCTTACCATTGTAGTTGTGTATCCTAAGAAACTATAACTTAAATTTAGGAAATGGTAATAAAAGCACCAGTAATAGTGCCTTATTCTGTGTGGCTAGTTATATAGTTGCTAACTAGCTGCTAACCTAGTAAAATTATTCTTAACACTTAATTAACTTACTAGGAACTGATCTTTCTGATGTGTATCCCAACACTGAGCAAAATTCTGTTGGCATAACTTTGTGCAGCATAACTCAAATTGGGCTCCAGAAACATTCTATTTAAAGCAATTAAAAGACCCTGATGTTAGGAAAGTGTGAGGGCAAGAGGAGAAGGGGATGACAGAGGATGAGATGGTTGGACAGTGTCATCGAAGCTACCAACATGAATTTGACCCAACTCCAGGAGGCAGTGAAAGACAGGAGGGCCTGGCGTGCTCTTGTCCATGGGGTCACAGAGAGTCAGACACGACTAAACAATAACAAAAAAAAGCAATTAAACTTCTGGGATATTCATTGTGGATAGAGTGGTAGACTAGAACTCAGGAGACCTCTTCCACTCAGCCATGGAAGCTCACCTTTGGGGGGAGTGCATAAAAACACTCCTTTAATATCTGATTTCCCTTGAAAAGCCCTATTGAAAAAGTCAGTTCTTACTTGATGTTACATGACAAAATGACAACTAAAACTTCCTAACCCTCTCCTTTTACATTCTGAAGCACCCTAGAGCTCCCTTTTACCATGTGGAAGCCTTTGGGAGCCATGCAATGTGGGGTGGGGAACATTTAATAGTGTTTTTTTAAAAAAAAAATCACTGTCAGATTGCCATCAGTAGTGCTGTGCCTGTAATGGACTGTTTGTTTTGTATAGGTGTGATCAGTCTAATATACTTTTTTAGTATACTTTTAAAAAAACTGTTAGGTATTTTGTTTTGTTTTCAGAAACAATCTTGTAGGTTCTGCTAAAGGAAAGTATTATATTTTTTAAATAAAAAATAAATAAATATTTCTTTTAAATAATATAGGTTTACTTCACCTTTTCCGCATGAAAGTTCAGTGTGATGCACAAAGGAATTCCCAATTAGACATGGGATATTCGTATTCGTATAACTGGGGATACAAATATGAATATTGGCACTGCAGGTCCCTGGAACCCTCATGTCTACACCCAATGAAAAATCATATTCTGCTTTTACATCAGCATGACTCAGTCATTGTTAATCTCATCAGCGAATTAACAAAAATTAAGCATTAAGTATACACACTTGATGTAGGGCAACGAGCATATCAAGAAATGACTGCACTAACTTCATAACTTAAAGCAATTTGCTGTCAAGATTTATGCTGATTGCAATATTCTGGTGATCATAACTAATAGGGTTGGGGCCAGTGTATAGTAAAATCACAGATCACACAATCTCATGAATGGGTATGCTCAAAAGATAACTGTGTAGTATAATGGGTCATGTGATACACTGCCACTTGGAAGTCATGAAACTCCCTGAGTTACTCTTTCTCAAGTTTATCTGCTTTACAGGATCATGAAGAAAAAAGCTAAATGTGATATCTTGACTGGAAAAGAAAAAAGGCAGGATATAAATGTAACAAATAATAATAACAGAACAAAGATAAAAAGGTTATGATATGAATTCATGCTTTTAAAAGTCTTTCTACCTAGTAACATTTTAACACTGCTGTGTTAGACCAGTAGAAAAGGTACAGAATAGGTGTCCCTGGGAAAGTGTTACAAAGCCTGCATGGGTGACTGGAAAAGTAGTTGTGATTCTTACAGGATATAAATGTAACAAATAATAATAACAGAACAAAGATAAAAAGGTTATGATATGAATTCATGCTTTTAAAAGTCTTTCTACCTAGTAACATTTTAACACTGCTGTGTTAGACCAGTAGAAAAGGTACAGAATAGGTGTCCCTGGGAAAGTGTTACAAAGCCTGCATGGGTGACTGGAAAAGTAGTTGTGATTCTTACTACTCTGCTGTCAAATTAGACTGTTGCAGCTGCATCTTGATGCAATTATGTACTTCCTGCTTTCCTTCTTTTCTAGTAAATTGGTTTGTGAATAAGGTTTAATGAAATAAGATAGATAACTGGTACAGTGGTTTCATTGGGTTTGTCTGTTTTTATAAAAGCATACTCTGAGGTATTCTCCTTTCATGCAGATCTTCGTTGGAAAAATCTAGAGCAGGGGTCTCAAACTCAATTTACCTGGGGGCCACTGGAGGCAGAGTCTGGGTGAGGCTGGGCCACATCAGATTTTCCACAAGAAAAGCTTTGTTAAAAAATTCCAGTCTTCTCAAATCTCTTTATTTTTAACACAAAATAAGATGAAAAATAAATAACAATTTAAGAATTAATAAGAAAATGAATAAATAAATCAGTAATTAATAATAATGATGATAATGATAATAATAATTCTCTAGTGAGCAACTATATGTGGTTTCTTCAGTCTTCTATATCTGCTGTATTCAGATTCAAATGTCTGCATTAACAGTTCTTTAACCTTTAATTTTCTAACCATGAATTGTCCTGAATATGAATGGAATATTGAAGAACATGAATTCTCTTGCCTACTCCTTGCTGCTAGAGACATGGAAGTGCTTCCTCTTGCCTAACTGAGCCCCATTTGGCTTGAGGGAGGAAGCAGTTGAGACCCTCAGTATGATTTGAAGATGATCATCAGTCAGTCTGGACCTGTACTTGGACTTATTGAAGTTCAAGGTGGAGAAGAGCTTTTCGCACAAGTTGTGCTCCTAAAAGGCACATTAATTTAAGAATTAATAAGAAAATGAATAAATAAATCAGTAATTAATAATAATGATGATAATGATAATAATAATTCTCTAGTGAGCAACTATATGTGGTTTCTTCAGTCTTCTATATCTGCTGTATTCAGATTCAAATGTCTGCATTAACAGTTCTTTAACCTTTAATTTTCTAACCATGAATTGTCCTGAATATGAATGGAATATTGAAGAACATGAATTCTCTTGCCTACTCCTTGCTGCTAGAGACATGGAAGTGCTTCCTCTTGCCTAACTGAGCCCCATTTGGCTTGAGGGAGGAAGCAGTTGAGACCCTCAGTATGATTTGAAGATGATCATCAGTCAGTCTGGACCTGTACTTGGACTTATTGAAGTTCAAGGTGGAGAAGAGCTTTTCACACAAGTATGTGCTCCCTAAAAGGCACATGGTCTGCTTGAACATTTGGGAAAGCTCAGGGAAGCTGGGGGTCAATTTTCTCAAAAATTGCCCAAGCTTGTCTGCTTTTCCACTCACCTCCCTGAACTTTGCTTTGAATTCAGAGTTGCACTGCAGGTCTATGAGCTCCATTTGAAGCACAGGAGGAGCATCTTGCACATCAAAAAAGAAGGGGTCCACAAAAATTTGAAATGTGGCTCTGTGCATCCAGAAGGGGGTTTTGCAAAGTTGGGGCTTCTGCTTTTAGGTCTCTCTCCCCACCCACCCCCGCTCTTCGCGGGTCACCTGGCAAGGCCGCTGCTTTTTATGCTTCTTTATATGAATTTACATTAGATTTCAAATACTGTTTTTAAGACTGGTCTAATCTATGTTCTTACATTTAGCCTGTCTACAAAGCAATAAAGTATGTATGTGTGTAATGAGAAAATGGCCAAGCAGGCTCTGGATGCACACAAATACACTTTTCTGTATAAAGTACTTTGCCATTGAATACATTTGTAGTAGTTACTACATAAAATTTTGTCTTAATGTGTATGTGTTTGAAACGGTGAGCTTGGTGTCTACTAAAAAACAAAGGAACTTCAAAAATGGAAAATCGGTGTAATTTTTTCTTCTTTCCCACTTTACCTAACCTCCTTAAATCCTGTAGCCTGATGTTGGAGGTGAATATCCTCAGACCTTAACTCCTGACTAATAAGATCAAGATAGGCTTGAAGAAAGATGAGTGAATATACTACTGGATTTTGCTTAGTCACACACACGAGACCACTAATAACTGTTCTGTGAATCAAAACATTAAATAGCATTTAATCAGTGAATTTGTATTTTGTCCTAGGCAATGAAAACAAAGCAGCATTTTCTGAAAGAAGACTGGGAGGTTTTTAAACAGAGGCATTTCATAGAACAGGTAAAGCTATGTACTCAAGTCACATGCAGCTCAGCCCTGAGCATGTTTTATCAGAAGAAAGTTACACTGTCCAGTGATCAGACATTATTGTTATTTTTTCCCAATTGAGTGTGCGTACTCTGTGTGCTACACAATCAACAAATGCTGGAATAATATTTCCTTTCACACTTTTTTATTATTTAGAATAAACTGAAAATTGACAGGATGTATTAATTCCTGTACTGCTAAGTTAATTTATACCTGCTTTGTTAAAAAAAATCTACAAGTTATTATCTACATATCTTTTCAATCATCCTGCATTTGCTGAGAAAGAAAAGTCTCCTCATTTAAAATAGAATATAAATGCTGGTTATTAGCTTGCTAGCAGGCAACTAAAGTGTCTTCTATGAGTGGAGTAATAGGGAATCTGGAATAGAATGATCTGTCCCTCCACTAGCTTGCTTATTTATCTGTGAGAACATATAGTTTATAGAATTCTTGTTTCCCAGCGTCTATCTGGCAAGTTGCTAATTACACATCTTTATTAAGTAGTATATGAATTAAGTACAATGAGCTTTATGAGCCCAATCACATTGCTCAAGATTCTTTAACTTAGTATGATTCTCTCCAGATATCTCAGTAGTGCTAATAGTTCAGATCAGTTGGACTAAAACCCAATCTTCCACTAATACCCAAATAAAGGTATTTAAGGTTCTCTAAAGGAATTGAACCTGGGATCTTCTGTCTGTGAAGATAAAAATCTACCGTTTTGTTATGGATCATCACATAGTGGATGACAAAGGAGAATTTGTAAAATTCTGGCTTCTACCAAGAAATAGCAAAATTAAAGGAGTAATGGTAACTTGAAGAGGTAAAATAGAAAATAATGTCAAAAAGGGACAATGGGAAGTCTTTAGAGCGGTGTTTCCAAACCTTGGGTCCCCAAATATTCTTGGGGGCCCAAGGTTTGGACTCCCAGAAATCCTGGCTTGCACAATTAGTGGTGAAGGGTTCTGGGAGTTTTAGCACAGAACATCTGGGGACTCATGGTTGGGAACCACTGCTTTTGTGGGAAAATATAGGAAGCCGGTGAAGAAGTTCTGCATATGAACAATGAGTATTAAAATTGTTTTGGCACTGGAGTTTTAAATAAAAATGAGAGAGCTGAAATGTATTTTGGGAACGCCAAGGGGAAGAAGCTGGCAGTACTTAATGTAGGGTGTGAACCAAGTTTAGCCGGTGTATACAGCTAAGTAGAGTTTAGCAATGTACTACACTGAGAAGTGTCATGATGTAGCAATAATAGAAGTGAGAAGAAAGAGAGGGAGGGATTAGAGATAAAGCCAAGGCTGCACATCTGTTTAACAGGATAGTTGGTTGTGTTGTCAGTAGATATAAAAAGAGCAATCAAGGAAAAAAGATATGACAAATGAACAATTCAACCTCACATCTGTTTTTAGCATGTGCACATATACTGTGCGTTATTTTTATAAGAAATTTGAATGTGGTTAGCAAGAAGCACCTGAACTATTAAAAGCACACTGAAATGTGTTTGAAGTATTGCAAAAATGAGTGACAGCAAAAGGAGCAAGAAGTTCCTGGACCAGCAGCAACATCCATAAGCAAATGCTAAGTTTGAATTGACAATGAGACATTCTACTGAACGAGACTTTCTGGTGAATATATTAAAGTCAGGAGGTCATATGACTAGAAAGAGTAGCATGCAGGTGGTGGTGGAAGCACAGCTTGGAAGTAAAATAACAGTGACATATTACTCTTTGGGAATAACAAGGAGTGAATTATTGACAGTTTTCAAAATAAATGGTAATGTTTTTTTTTGAAAATTAATAAGATTTGTTATAACTAATATACTTTTTATGGGATCTTTTGCTATTTTAAAATACATTTTGGTAAACAAATGCAACTAAAAATAGTTAGTAATGCGCAAAGTGAGTAAGTAATGTGCAAACTAAGATCATGGCTACTGGCCCCAACACCTCCTGGCAAATAGAAGGGGAAGATATGGAAGCAGTGACAGATTTTACTTTCTTGGGCTCCATGATGACTGCAGATGATGACAGCAGCCATAAAATTAAAAGACACTTGCTTCTTGGGAGGAAAGCGATGACAGCATCTTAAAAAGCAGAGACATCACCTTGCCAACAAAGGTCTGCATAGTCAAAGTTATGGTTTTTCCAGTAGCAGTGTATGGAGTTGACAGCTGGACCATAAAGAAGGTGGACCACCGAAGAATTGATGCTTTTGAATTGTGGTGCTGTAGGAGCCCCTTGAGAGTCCCCTGGACTGCAAGAGGATCAGTTCTATCCATTAAGAAGGAAATCAACCCTGAGTGCTCACTGGAAGGATAGATCCTGAAGCTTTGGCCATCTCATGAGAAGGGAAGACTCCCTGGAAAAGACCCTGATGTTGGGAAAGAGTGTGAAGTCAAGAGGAGAAAGGGACGACAGAGGATGAGATGGTTGGACAGTGTCATCGAAGCTACCAACATGAATTTAACCAAACTCTGGGAGGCAGTGGAAGACAGGAGGGCCTGGGATGTTCTGGTGCATGAGGTCACAAAGAGTCAGACATGACTTAACAACTAAACAACAACAACAAATGCAGAAAGGTGTATAACATGTCACATTGGCCATATGTGGCTCTCTAGGGGCATTTTTGCAACTTTCTCAGCA